TATCCACCCTGTAAACACAAATCTTCCAAACACTTGTCTTTCTATACACGTATACGCGTGCGTGCGTGTGTGTGTGTGTGTGTGTGTGTGTGTATATATATGTATGTATATATGCGGACAGCGTTAGGGATCATGAATCCTCGTTGTCCCTGGTAACTAAGAGGAAAGCGTCTGAGAATATAGGTGTTGAGGTGGCATCAATACCAGAGAAGAGAGTGGGAATCGCCTCGCATGTTCTTTCGCTCCTTCCGAGAATCACTATTTTTGAGGGGACATACACAGACACACGTATATATAGATAGATACGTATAGAGTCATATAGAAGATATATGCGAAGATTAGGAAATTAGTTTTTATCACAATTAATATATGGGCTAGCATATTACTTACATGTTTGGGATTTACTGAATTTGTTGTAGTTTTTATTAATTAAAAAAAAAATACTACATTTCTATTTTTTTAATAAAATAATATAATTTTATTAATTAGTTAATACAAATACATCAATCATAATACAATAAAAATAATTTATAAACCAATCAATATATATATATATATATATATATATATATATATATATATACACACCGTCAAACTCAAACTCACAAACTCTTGTAAATACACACGATAACATAATTTAATTCAAACCCACAACTTTTTGTAAAGTGATATATATAATATATTTAAAATGAGAATACATGCAAAAACATAATATGATTTAAACCCACAATTTGTTATAAATAAAAGCAATATATATAAATTAAGCGTAACTAATATAAATAATTTTTAAATAATGATACATTTGATAATATAATTTAACTCAAACCCACAACGTTTTGTAAATAAATATGATATATATGCGCAAATTGTAACTTATATAAATAGATTTAAAATGAAAAAACATGAAAAAAAACACAATCTAATTTAAACCCGCAATTTATTATAAATAAAAGCGATATATATAAATCAATCGTAATTAATAGAAATAATTTTTAAATAAGGATACACACGATAATTTAACTCAAACCCACAACGTTTTGTAAATAAATATGGTATATTTGCGCAAATCGTAACTTATATAAATAGATTTAAAATTAGAATACATGCAAAAAAACACAATCTAATTTAAACCCACAATTTGTTATAAATAAAAATGATATATATAAATTAATCGTAACTAATAGAAATAATTTTTAAACGATAATACATATGAGAAAACACATTATAACTCAAACCCACAACTTATTATAAATAAAATAGTACGTAAACTATATAATAATTTTGTACCATATGGAAATCTATCTTTTGAGTTAGGTTTTAAGTTAGGAGGAGATTAGTGGTTGAGAATGAAAGAGTAAGGTAAGACACGAAATTAAAAGGTGAGTAAAGAGAGAGAGAGAGAAGAAGCATAAACCATGCCATGCATCGGCATCATTGCCCTCGTCCATGTCTTGACACCTCTCTCCCATTAAATCCCATGTGCTCTCCCCTTGTTTTCTCTCCCCCAAACTTCTTAACTCACACATCCCATTTTCTCTTTCAATAAATATTAGGTTACATTATATATTATATACAAAATTTATGGGTGGGTCTGAATCGAATTATACATTTTGGTTATATATATATATGTATGTATGTATGTATGTATGTATGTATGTATTTTTATTAGAACGTATAAATGTAATTTAAGTGAAAAAAAGGAGGAGAAGAAAAAGGTGTGGCGTTTTACATGGCATTGTCCGCGTTGGCAGCCGCGTTTTGACGTGGTACGAAGAAGATTTAATGTGAATTATTTTATTTAAAATTTAAAAAATAATAATAATCATAATTAATTATTAAAAAAGAAAACCTTGACTTGTACTGAAACAGTTTTGTGTACGCGTCAGTTTACTCGCTCAATTAATCGTGACGAACACGCCATTAATCGCGTTGAACACTAAATTAAGAAAATAATTATTATTTTTATTAAATTCATTAATATTAATTTTTAAAAATGGAAAAATATTTATTTTGAGAATAAATAAAATTTATGGATTTGACGATTCAATTTTACGAAAATTAAAACAAATATTGTTGTAATTGGGGAAAAAAAGGTTCAAATTAAATTGTCAAATACGATATCTTCCTTAAGGGGAAAGAGTAAGAACAACCAGGTTCATGCACGTATACCTCCTATATATATATATATATGTAAATAATTTATTTTTAAAAAAATATTTTAATTTCGTTATATATATATATATATTGCTCAAACTATGTTTACAACGTCTTACTCAAATTCTATTTTCGGACATACTAATTAATATTCATTGAATCAAAACGCACCGTCTAACTTAAATTATGTTGAATAGAAAATTAAACTCGATCAAAACGCACCGTTTAATTGATCATAAATCTACTAGATTAAGTATAATTTTTTTTAAAAAAATTTATAATTAAAAGAAATAAATAATTTTAAATTTCACAACACAATAAATAAATTCTATGTACATCACCAATTCATGAAAATTTATGAAATAAAACCCAAGAATCTATGTAGTAATTCATGTAAATTCAACTATCGAATGCTGTCCTAATGAAAAACAAATCAATGTTGTAAGGAAGATTCGTTCTTCTGTCCTGAAACGACGTCGTGCAGACCCGACAACCGCGGTTTCTTCGCAGGGAGAGGGCTCTCCACCTCCTGCTCCATCGACACAAACTCCGGAAACGCCGGCACGTTGAGGTCGAAGCCGCGGTGACTCTGCGACTCCGAAACAGTCCCACCGCTGGCGCTGCTGCGGCTCCCGCCGCCGATCACGCCTTCATAATGACATCTCTTGTGGCCTCCGAGAGCCTGTCCGGTGGGAAACACCTTGTGGCATATCGAACACTCGTGGGTCCTCCCGCCGGATGGGACGACGGATGACGTGACGTCAGAGGCGTTGGGGATACCGGAGTCGGCGGCGGAACTGGGTTTGTTCCGGTGACTGGCCTTGTGACCGCCCAAGGCTTGGTAGGAAGGAAACGCCTTGTCGCAGATGGTGCACTTGTAAGGGAGGTTGGTCGGAGGTGGATCCTGGGTCCGAGGCTTGGAATCTTGAAAGCCGCGGCTGCGTTGGTGGTGCCACGAGCGAGCATGATGAGACAAAGAGCCAAGTACTCCTCCTCCGTCATCGGTGATTCGGGAGAACGGGGTCGTTTTGATCGCTTCCGCTTTGCCCACCCGGAGTCCAAATAGACGGCGTCAACGTCGTCGTCTTCCTCGAATCGGAAACTTTTGTTGGCCGGAAAGGATCCAACCGCCGCCGCCGTAGGAGAATTCAGAGCTTCAAGCGCCATGTAATTCAACAGATTAGAAAATCAGAGAGATCGAATTCTTGATTTCTGAGATCAGAGAGAACAAGCAAGCGAAAGAGAGAGAGAGAGAGAGAGGGACGGGATGAAGAGAGAATTTGGGGAGGGAGAGAGTGAGTGAAGAAATGTATTGTGGGGTGTTTTTATACACAGAGAAGAAGGTGAGTTGGTTTAAGAGAGTGAAGTCGGTCAACCATTTTTAGAGAGAGGAGTGAGCTTGAGAGGACGGACTGGTTCCAAGTCAAAACAATTGTACGCCTGCGCTTTTTTTCTTTTTCTTTTTTATTTATTTTTTTTAACGCACGGAACAAAATTAGAAGGGGTAAAAGAAAATCAACTTGTTAACTCTTTTCTTTAAATATTTTTTAAAAGACGTACGGGGCACGAAACGACTTCGTTTTGATCCACTTTTTTTTTTTTTTTTTTCTTCTTCTCAATATACAATTTTTCTAATTTATATATTTATGGAAAAATTAATAGAGTAAATGTACCTAGACACGATAAATCCATATAATAGCAATCATGGAAGCTAATCCCACCATGATTTTTGCAATCTCGAGCAAATTTTCACTTTTAAAACATACATGTTCTTTAAAAAAATCCATAGTAAATACTCATGATTTTGTATCAAATTTGAGTGGCTACTGTATTTATTGATTTGATATTTTCAATGTGTAAATTAATTTAATTTTGTACACCCAAATTATTGTTTTTAAATATCATCTCTATCAATTATATGTATTTTTATATTTAAATATAGCAATAAAAATATTTACAACTTTGATAATTCTTAATGAATCTCGAATTATAAAGTCTATTTTTTCCGATTTCACGAGCGATGCCAAAATAGAATACATAATCCACTTGAGAGCCTGCATACAAAACATGTGTATAAATATAAATATACATGTATTATGGTAAAATGGGTATGTGCTAAAGTGTATAAAATGTGCATGCATACTATATTTTTATTGGATATATAAACACATTGTTTTTATTTTAATAAAATACCCACAAACTCTATTAGAGATTTTTTCAAATAGTTGTTTTCTTATAAACCTTTCTCAATCTCTCTTGCATTATTTTTTTATGAAAAAAATATATAATTTTTTCAAATAGAACCTTATATCCATGTACATTTATGATTTACAATATGCTATTTCATCTTCAATCATGGAATATAGTTTATATAAATTGATGTCCCTTTAAATATATATATATATATATGTGTATGTACATGTGAGTTTGAACAAATTTCAAATTGCAATATCGCATAGAATAATACTTTTCCAATATTTTGAAGGAACGTAGAGAATATTATGGCACATTTTGGTAAAGATTCACTACAGACAGCCGCTTGGTTCATTGTGAAATTCCCAAATTGCCCCTGAACGTGCGTGGGGGATTTCCAACTTTTTACTTTCGTCTCTTTTTTTTTTTTGGTAGTTCCGTTGGTGGCTGCTTTCTAGAAAGACAGCTAAACTTCCAGGGTGTTATGCCTTATCTATCCGATTGCCACGTGTCCAACAGTACTCTCATGATTATCCCACTTTCTAACTCTTTTCTTTTTTTTTTTTTTTTATTTGACCGAAATTCCGCTGAGGAAAATTCAGTGAAGTTACCTAAATACCCCTCAAATTGGAGTCTTACGTAAGGGTATTTTAGTAAAATAATATACTGGAGGATCAGTGCGTGAAGTGTGATAAGTAGGATGGACTGTAGCTTCACCGACTCGTAACTGTCGGGACATACGGCACGCAAGCTTACTTAATTAACCGACACGTGGCGGTCTCTCCAGACATACTAGTTTCACAAGGTGGTGATAACGGACAAGCAACTGACGGGTTCAAAGAGCGTGCTCGTTTATGCACGCTAAAGCCGTCAACGCGTGAGAACTCTTGAACGATCGACACGTGGAAGATGCTTGGCCGCGGATTAGCCACGTGTCGAATTGTGCCCGGGAAGGATGACAGTAGGGTATTCTAGTAGTTCGTTGAGGACGGAGGTTGTTTCGACACTTGGGCATTGGTGGTGACTTAACTGTTAAAAAGTTGTTGGGTGATGTTATCATCGAGCCACGTAGATTCACTAATGGAAACTCCAATTCTTTTTCCTTTGTTTTAATTAAATTTTGTAATAATAATATTAATTTTTAATTAAATCAACACTGTTTATTTAGAGATTAATAATAATAATTAAAATATTATTATTGACTATATTTATAGTAGAGAAGTAATTGGATAGTGATGAAGCCATGAACATCACCGACCATAAGACAAACACCACTAAACTATACATATACGTGTAGATATATATATATATATATATAAATAAATAAATATATTTCAAAATTATCAAATCCTCCACGTCTTAACTGTTAAGCGGACCGTCATTTGACGTGGCAGCACCTTCCACAAACTTTTCCCACCGTGCAATTAAATTCCCTTTTCGTAGCCACATAACTAAAGAACAAATATAATAATAATAATAATAATAATAATAAATTATTATTATTTTGGAAAATTTATAAAATTAATGAAACAATGAACACGCAATTATGATTCTCAAACGCTTATACGGCACCGTCTTGTTGTGACGTCAAAGTTCGGTACATATATTAGTTATTTGTTAAATTAATTAATTAGTGTTAATTAGGAGTTAATTAGTTTGTGATTAGCAATACTAAGTAAACCCAATTTCAAAATAATTGCAAATTGGAGGTATTGATGAAGTGTGTGTGTGTGTGTGTGTGTGTGTGAGACGTTTCTTCGTACTTAAGTCACTTAAAAACATACATGTAATTATCTAAAAATTATATTTTAAATTAAATTTTACACAAAACACCATGTACTTTCCAATTTAAGATTTTTTAAATATAGCTGTAAATTACTATAAATTCTAATTTTAATATATACTTCCAAAACCCACCAAAAATATACCAAGTTGAAACCACCTACTTTAAAAAAAAAAAAAAAAACTAGGTTAAGAAATTGATTATACCATAATAATAATAATAAATACAATATAATATATGTTAAATTAATTTCAACATAAAAAATAATTACTTGATTATTCTTTTCTGGAATATGCAATGGAAGGTACGAGGAAATAAGGAAGAAGCGACGGCATATTTTCTCAGGCAAGACTTGATAAATTTAAAACGTAACCTTCAAGAATTGAAACATTTAATTTGACTCTACGGGCTGAATATGATGTAATCCCTTACTCATATAAACATCATACATACATACACGTATACATACACATACATAGAAGTCAATATTTGTTTTTTTTTTAAAGTACATTTGAGGTTCATGCATGCTTGGATTTTGACCCACATCCCCTTTTTTACTTCATCTTTTTTAATTAGAACACGATATGTGTTTGTGTTTGTGTGTGTGTGTGTATGTATATACACACGTGTGTGGGATAAGATAGCCAACAGGCTTTTTTCACGTAGTCATAATTTTTACCAAAGGATGCTCGTCTACCCATTCAAATTTTCCACTATTACTACAAGAATCGGATACTTCAACTGAAAATTCCCATGCACACTTAAACATGTCCATATCTATACATATATATATATATATATATACACACATATATACACACCCTTTTCTTAGTGGGGTTTATATATTTATTAATTAAATAATATATACACAAATTATTATAACATAATGTAAGTAATCTTTAAATAAGAATAAATATAGTAATGTAGTTTGATCCTAATATATTATATTAATAAAAAAGCGTAACAATTATTAAATTAAATTTATATTTTTTAAAAAATATAAATTACCTTAAACTCCGTAATATGACAATTTAAAAATGTAAAGCTCGTAATTTTATAAAAAAAGTAAAGACTTAATATGTAGGTATAGTAGTGAAGTTGTAATAAATAATTTAAATTAAATTTTAATAAATTTATTATATTTACGGGGGAAATAAAATTTTATGATAAATATTATCTTAATTTCTCGATATTTTTTCACACTTGATTTTTGGATAATAGTTTTTGATATGTCACATAAGTAGAACATTTTTGTGGGTCCAATTTTTTATATTTATTTATTTATTTATTTCAAAATTTCAAATTATTTTTTTCTGGGATTTCTTGGGTCTATTTTATTCAGAGCCCAATTTGATCTTCCTTTCCCCCATCTAAAGTCTAGTTGCAAACAATGACCCATAATCCGTACCCGAAACCGAAACCGAAACCGAGACCGAAACCGAACAAAAACCCATTTACCCGAAACAAATCTTTTTGTGTTCTGTTAGCAAAGCCCATTAAAATCACTGGTTGTGAAATCTCAAGCTTTGTTTTTCTTCTCCGCCCAAATTCATCCCCAATTCATCTCCTTCACTCTGCCGAGTTGCAGTCAGTCTCTAGAATGGCAACCTATCTGCCGTCTCCTCTCGCTGCTTTGAATCCAGAAGTCTCTTCTATTGGAGTCCCAAAATCATCCTTCCTCTCCGGCACCAATCTCTTCTTCGCGCCTTCTTCAGTCTCTGTAACCAGAAGACTTCCAGCTCAAAAATGTTACCAGTCTCCCTGCGCCAAGAAATCGTTCGACCATATTCCGAAGCAGTTCAGACAAGAAAATCTTAAAGATGGATGTAAGTTTTGAGTGTTTAATTTAAAAATTTTACTCAGTTAAGCGTTACGTGGTATTGGTTACAGTCTTCAATAGGTTTAGGTAGCTTTTAGGTATGTATAAAAATCAAGACGATATCAGTCTCAGCAGTTTTTACCGAATGAATACTGTGCGTGGGAATTTGTGGATTAAGAATTTACCCTGGAAAACTTGACAAAGAGGAGGGTACCTTAGCCGCTGGTCTATGGATAAATCTCGGTATCTTAGGTTTTTGAACATGCATAGACGTGTTTGTAGCTTAACTGGATTGAAATTGTATCCTGCCACGTTGTTTTTTCATAAAAATAGTGGAGACACATTTTGGAAACTGCAATTTAGGTCTCTTATGAACGTTATGGATTTGTTGCGGTACCTGAATTTTGTTTCTATTGATTACTACGATAGCTTCAACTTGAAATATTTTGTTAATGAATAGCGTTGTATACGAAGATGCTTATTACAATGTTGGAAAATTTTGAATTGAGCTAGTGGAACTTTGTTCTTGTTTCTTTTTTCGTATGTATAACTAGAAGGCTTGTTCAGTGTTCTTAAGTGGACATATAGACTAATAGTTGAATCTTTGATGAATTTGCCACTTTCATGAAAAGTATTCAATTAATCAGTTGATCAAAACGGATATCTAATTAAATTAACTTTTGGAGTTGTGGTTCAAGCTTGGTTTTTTGTTTCCGAATTATTTTACCGTGTCTTTCTACTTCCAAGAACTTTGCACATGCAATTGTATTCCTGCTTCCTAGCACTGGAAACAAATTTTAGCTTTCACTTTTCTCTTGATAGTTCGGGTCGCTTGGAAAGAGAGGTACTGTAGAATCATCCTCCCCTTTTTCTATACCAAGGATCACTGCTATAGAACTAGAGAGATCATCCTATGGTGGATGGTAGTGATATTTATGATCTTTTTGATCTTTTCTCCCTGTAACTTCTGCATATGGGTTCCTCCCCCTTGGTTCCTTTTTAGTAAAATCTTTAGAGAGAGATATGTGACACTGTATATTAATCCTTAGCAATTGAAATTGAAGATCTATACATATGTCATTTCACTGCATTGTCCTCCATTCTCTTCTGGTTTCTTTTTGTCTTTGTCGGTATAACTTCCCAAGAAATTTTAATAAACATATGGGTACCAACTTGTCTTAGTTGGTCAGTAAGTCTTTTATGGAGGAGCTTTAGGCATGCTGTTGAATCACGCCTACCAATCAAAGGGAAAAGGAGATGCTCTCTTATTCCTTTTTCTATTTTCTGGGTCGCTAAGAAAGAAAGGAACTATAGAGCTTTTGAAGATACCTCTTTGTCACTTATTTCCCTTAGAGCTTGTTGGTTAAGGGCAATGTGTATTGTTTTAAGGGTCATCCATTCCTGACGAGGTGAATGTTGTTGGTTCTTTTTATGCTTTTCTTCTCGAGTGACATTTCTTTTGTGTATGGGCTGCACCTTTTTGGTGCCCTCTTAATGTTAATGCTTTGTCTTTTTCTCTCAAAGAAAAGTATTAAGTATTTTCCAACAAACAGCCGTTGGTGACTTTAATTCTTGACTTTCTTCTGTATACTGTCTTTTGTAGTGATGAACAATTTCAAAAATGTACCTCAGTATCTTTATGGTCTTTCTCCTTCACAAATGGACATGTTCATGACTGAAGATAATCCTGTCCGCCGGCAGTCAGAACGAGTAACAGAGGTTTCCGCTTCTTACTTCTTCTCTCAGTAACCCTTTAGTATCATGTAATTAGGAAATGCATGAAATAAGCAAAACTGTATTCATTGGCTTTGGACAAATTTTTGGAAGTCAATAAAGTTGGAACTTAGGTTTTGTTTTGGTAAACTCCAATGTACAGAGGGAATTTTTAACTTTTCAAAAATGTTTGACAGGAAAGCATCTCATCTGCTAGAAACTATCTAGATAATGGAGGGATGTGGAGTCTATCGGGAATGGATGACAGGGGTCCTTCAAAGTATAGTATGAGTGTAAGTATGTACCGTGGTGGAGCCAGAGGAAATGGAAGACCTAGAACTGCTCCTCCAGATCTGCCATCGTTGCTGTTAGATGCTCGGATATGCTACCTTGGCATGCCAGTGAGCTCCTAATCTCGTAGGATATTTGTCATTGCCAGTGACAGTACCATTCAGTGTTAAAATTTACCATCTAAGTATTCTGTTGTCTTGTGGCTTCAGATTGTACCAGCAGTTACTGAACTTATTGTTGCTCAGTTTATGTGGTTGGATTTTGATAACCCTTCAAAGCCAATATATTTATACATAAATTCTTCAGGGACACAGGTTAGTACTGGAGTATTCTTCATAAATACTGTCCTTTTGTACCCTATCTCGCTTGTTGCTAGCTTAAGAAGTTGATTTCCAGTTAATCACATTTCAAATTTGCATATCTATCTTTTTTTTTTTTGGCTGAATTGCGTATCCATATTAATTTGGTTCTGCAATGCGATTTAGAATGAGAAGATGGAGACTGTTGGATCAGAGACTGAGGCCTATGCCATTGCTGACACCATGGCTGTAAGTAACATGATCAACCATATATTTTATTATTTTCATGCAGTGTTAATTAAAAAATGATGGAGCAAAAGATTGACTTCCCAGAAATTGCAAATTGTCCTTGATTAACACGTGTATTTAACCTCTGAGATATTTATTTTAGACCTCTCCCAAAGATTATTGATGGAATTTTCTCCCTGATTGTCACATGAATTTTTGTAACACTCTTATTTTAGCCGTTTGACCAACTTCAAATTTGACTTAATTGATTGTTTTTTCCCTCTGCCTGAAGTACTGCAAATCAGATATTTACACTGTGAACTGTGGCATGGCATATGGTCAAGCAGCAATGCTACTATCTCTTGGAACCAAGGGCTATCGAGCTCTACAACCACATTCATCTAGTATGATTCTACTCCTCTCAAGTGTTTCTTTTGGCAAATATTTTATGTGATCAAGTGCTTGAATTCTTATATTCTGTATATCTTTCACAAACCCACGAGTGCATTTGTTTTAATATAAATAATATTTTCCTTGACCACTGTTTCTACTTTTGCAAAGCAGAGGAACTTTCCAGTATGCATTATATCAAATCTTAAATATCATCCCACTGTCATTATTTATAGAATTATAATTATACCATTATTTGTTTCCTTGAATGGTAAGAAAGAAACTAGAATGTTGCATGTGCTTCCTGTTTAAATTTTATTTAACACCAAAGGAAAAAAAAAATCTCCGGGCTCTGTTTTTCTTTGCTGTCTTAACATGGTGAACTCTGCTTGTCACACTGGATAGTACCCTATTGTTCGATCATGGAAATTGATATGAGCTTTATACCTTATAATTTATGACAACTTGTCTTACATTGCAGCAAAATTGTACCTGCCTAAAGTAAATAGATCCAGTGGTGCTGTCATAGATATGTGGATAAAGGTGTTCCTTCTCTTCTCTCTCTATATCTTTGTTTTTCTGTCTCCTTGGATAAGTCGGTGAACATTTCATTTTTCACACTGCAAAACAAATCTTTCACAGGCAAAGGAACTGGATGCAAATACTGAATATTACATTGAGTTACTGGCAAAAGGAACTGGGAAATCGAAGGAAGAAATTGCAAAAGATGTCCAACGACCTAAATATCTTCAAGCACAAGAAGCAATAGACTATGGAGTTGCAGACAAGATTATTGACTCGAGAGATAATGCTTTTGAGAAAAGGGTAAGGCTTATAAGTTGTGTTCGGTTCAAATTACAATTATATCAAATAGGAATGAAGGTACAATCAAATGAGATAAAGTGAAAAAGAACATTTTAGTTCCAAACAATTTTATACCAAATTCAAATCAGATGGTTTTGGTTCTCCTTTTAACAAGTAGGAATTTGTTTCATAATTATAGAATTAAATATATGAACGGAATTAGTTTTATTTTATATCATATATGGAATTTATAACTATTGGATAGAATAATTAGGCTCTATAAATAAAATAGATTTGAAATAATAGAAGGACAGAGTAGGTAGCTTCTGTTTCTTGCTTCATTTGTTTTTTGAACAGTATTATTGACAACGAGTTTGGAATCAGGATTATGATGGGATGCTTGCTCAATCAAAAGCCATGCGAAGAGCAGCTGGAGCTGGTCCACAAGCAGCTCCTTCAGGGTTTAGGTAATTCTTAAGCAGCATTGTCTGAGGAAATTACAAAGGAAAAGCTTTTCCTAAATATTTAATGCCACGGAGGACTTGATTAGTGACAGTTTGGACAAATGAGAGTGCACCGTTCTGTAAGCAGGTAGTTCTTTCACGTAAGTTCATACTCGGAAATCCGGTATAAGTGAATTTATTGTGATAAAAGTGCCATGTTAAATATCATGTAAGAAAGAGAGAATGAAGATGGTGCTTTGCTTTGCTCCTGTAAAGTTTGCTCTCAACTTTTAGTTGCTTCTGCTGTTATCATCTGTAAGGAGCATGCCCTGGAAGATCGAACCAGGAACATGTCACTAGTGCCGTACTTTAGAAAATTGAATGATATTTGAGCATATCAGCCCTTAGCTTCAAGAAAGTTTAGAACTTTAATATATTGCGTCTATTGTCCTCAACTTATTTAGTTGATTGTTTTTGTAAATTTACTTACCTGTTTGGGAGGCAATAAGGGTTCTAATTTCCAATTTGTCGTTTTATTGTCATCAACTTCTTAGTATCTCGATTTTGAGCTTCAATCAACTTCATTAATTTTATTACTGGTAAAACCAAATTGTCTCCAAAGATGACAAATGAAGGGGAAATAAGGAAGAACAAACTTTGGAACAAACACAAGCTACATTGAAAGACTTTAAGTCGTGGGATCTGACAGCGTGAATGGTAAGACACATTCACAAAACAGTTAAAACAAAAACGGGACTACATTTTATACACAGGAGAATCCAAAGGTTGGGCCTCCGTATAGCTTTCTCACAGTAAAGTAATTTGAATTGTTCCGAAAGCAGAAGAAGAAACAGAATGAAGATTTTGTTCTTCTAATTATACTGGAGGATTAGGGTAGACTTTGGGTTTTGGCTTGACTTCAATTTCGTTTACACTGCGTATGAAGATAGAATCTGGTTCGTGTCTGCAAAATGTGAAGAATACTTTTAGTAAAATCCCGCAAATCAGGGAGGAGGAGAGAGAGACGAGAGAGATGCTTACGGTTTATCCCCCTCTTCAAATGTGTAACTTGATCCCACAGCCAACAAACGACCATCTCTGCTAAACGAAAGTGCTGCAATGCTTGATGGGTACTTAGAGTACTGCAAGAAGAATAATACTTATCATAGTTTGAGATTCCAAGGTTCTGGGAATTGGATTCGCTATTATTATCACAGTACTGGCAACTACTTACTTACCTGATATAACCTTTTCTTGTTATTGCCGTCCCAAACATTTACAAAACCATCACAACCTCCAGTCGCAAATGTACCATAGCTGCATGTACAGGAAAATTATATGTACATAGAAATGCAACTGCTATCATCACCACTATCCAAAAAGATGCTTATCACTCGTCAAACTAACCATACAATTTCTTGAGAGCCTTAAATCAAACCGGAAGTGCAATACTAACATAGTACTACATCTACAATTCTCAAGCAAAACAAGGAAAAAGAATGCCCTTTTTTGAAGAGTTGGCATTATTTTTCACTGCTAAATAGTCCACTCTCAACTATGTTGTTCACCATCTGTATAGTCATACATAGCAATTATCCAGGTCCAATTTCAAACTTCAAATGGGTTGCACACACAGGCCCAATTATCGAGGGAGCACTTTCATCGTGTCCCATTTCAAATACTTCATGCCAAGATAGTTTTCAGTACTGGAGCCATGCTTTATGTCTCCCATGAATATTTTTTCCCCAATAAACAGGGGAAAAAATCTTTATTTCAATTTGTTTCCCTAAAAAGTGCAACAATTCAAAGCAAAACTTACACAGGATGGAATGCTATGGCATTTACTGGATAAACAATATCCCGTCCAGCCTCTGATTTTCGGTGGCACTTGAATGCGTATCTGGATAAAGTTCAGAGCTATCAGTAAGTAACAGAAAATTGATCAACAGCATTCTACAAGTTCGCATTTGAATATTTGTATGCTTGCATGCTTGTGCAATAACATGGATATCCAAGGGCAATAGGCACAACTCCATTCCTTGAATGGTTGTACAACCACAAAACTATGGTGTATGTTAACTTTAAAAATGGACATAATGATTGTTTCAACAAAAAATCAATAATTTAACAAAAATGAAAAACACAAAATTAGAAATAAACAAGCCAAGAGCAGCAGCTTCTGTTGATTCACACTCAGAGACCATCACCTCCTAGTTCCTGTTACAATGAACTTCAGTCTAGTTATTTCTAGACAAACTGTACTTCTATGAACAGAAAATAGTTGAGAACCTATCAAGTGAGTGGAGATCTATAGAGAGTTTAAGACAATGCTTAGTTAATCTTCGTCATCCAACAAAGTACTCAAACATGCAAAGGATATCAAAGAGACCAATAGAAATCATGCAGAATTATCAAAGTTTGGATTTAAACTACCTATTGTAATAGATAAAACCAAAATGGAAAGCTGAAACATTTGCAAAATGCACTGAAAAGAGAGGTAAATCGACAAATACTTTTTGGCCTGACTAACTTCTGAGAGGTCAAAAAACTCCATTGCTACTCTTCCTTCAACGGAACTAAGTGCATATCCTGCAAAAAGTTCCCTGGATGAGAAAAATTATGCCCAGGATGACAATTAAGAATCAACAAACAAAAAAATAGATTAATTTTCATTTGCTTATTTTGCTGTCCAGGAATGTGGCTATTAATTTTTTATCCAGCATACACAAACTGATAATTGATTATCAAGCTTTCAGGTGGTACCTGTTCCATTAGGGTAACATCGCACACATCTAGTTTGATATTTTAATGAAGATTCCCTTCGTTGCTCAGGTTGAGACATATTTCGCAAGTCATAGATGTTCACATGTCTTCCAGCAGTTGCCACTACTAGACGATTTCCAACAAGAGATAGTGAGTAGACACGTTCAGGTTGTGGATATGTGCCTACCAGCGTGCGCTCTTGTCCACTTGCTCCTCTAGGGTCCCAACATTTAAGTGTTTTGTCCCAGCTGCCTGTGATCACTTGTCCTATAATCATAAAGCATATATTGGAAAGAGAAAATTGTTAGAATTGGAAACTTTCCCTGCAAGAAAGGAACAAATACAATAGTCCGAAATGCCATTCATCTCGATAATTCCTGAATTCTAAAAGTTACGCTTTGTGGTATTTCTGATGGAACAAGATAACACATGATGATAGTTATGCCATCTCTGGAAGACTTGCGTCAAGAACCAAGCAGAGCAATTAAGTGTATACGAAAGCATGCACGGCAGAAATTCAATGTGGAGTAGAGGCCATCAAAAGTCAGAGCTGTTGCCTAAAAAAATCTTCCCATCATAAGATTTGGCATCAAAACCTTTTTCAGTATCAAAATACAGTAGTTGGAAATGCCATTTGAGATAAGGTCTAAATTTGATCCATTTAGGTTTCAACCTTCTTCTGGCAGCCATTTCCGTCATCTAGCCACGTAAAATTGCCAAAATATACACAAAAGATTGCAATAGAAATAAATCGAAGCTAATAACAGGCAGAGGTTCTAGATCCTGAAATCAGACTATAGAAGCAAGTGTATTTATGGTCTTATAGAGGTACCTACAACAAGAATAGAAAATTAACTCTATAGGAAACTTAAAAACTTCACAAGAAATACCTGTTCTTCACTAATATGTTTAAAGTAGCACATGTTCTTTTCTCTCTGTGTATTCTTACAGAAAGACAAAATTGTATAATTTTTTCTATGCAACCCTCAGGAATTTTCATTTACTAGGTGCACTATAAAGGGAATATCCATATGCATAAGTAAAGATTTAATAACCTAAGGGCATATATAATTGTTACAGAACATACAAGGATAAGGGATTTTTCCATCAATTTAACATGCTTAATCTGAAAATACCTAACATAAAGTGATAAGAAAAATATCCTAAAATCATCATATGCCAGAAACAATAAGAATGAGAAATTGCATTAAAATGGGAGAACGTCAAACACTACTCTGACCAACCTGCCGCATAAGAATATTCAACACAGCGAACTGGTGCTTCATGTCTTCCCAAAACATCCTCTTTTCCAATGTTGAAAACCAGCCTGAAAGATTAAATCAGAACTTTAACATCAATGATATAATATCTCATGAATGTAGTAGTGCCATTAATTTGTAATAAAACCAGACAAAACGCATGGTCATCTTCTTGAATCTTAAGCTTCATAATTTTAATATACCTTACAAAATTGTAAAGTTTATGTCATTTTCTACAAACATAAAATTGCCATCAAGTTACTTAAAAAAAGACATCAAGTTTACGCAAAAAAAGCCCATCAAGTCTCAATAGATATAAGCAGACTGATCAGGGAAATGTACAAGAACATACGCATAGCAATTCTATGTAAGCCAGAAACAAGCATCGGTAGTAAAATATAAAAGGATAGAGATGATAACTTCACAATAACAAAAGAAAGCATGGGTAGATAAAGTTGGCATGTAGTCAAGTTATGAGCTTCCAAATGAGAACAATCCTTTATATACCTAATAGCTGTATACTTGGGCCAAAAGGAACAAGAACAAGGCTAAAGGAAGAGCTGTAGGTGTGGAAAACATGTCAGTGAAAGCAGGAATACCGTGTTTGAGGTTCTTAATGGGGCTGAAGGACAAACATCTTTTTTTTTTCTCTTTGAAAAGACAAACATCTAGGTTATGAAGGTAAAATCTAATTTCTATCGTACTTATATATTCATACAGTAAAAAGCACTCGGATATATGGACAAAAAAGATTAATAAGTCCATTTTTTAATAAGTAATGGAATATGAATATATACAGTAATCAAACATACATGTCAATGTTTACTCACACATTCAATCATATTATGTAATCCCTTACTTTCTAATAAAGTTGCATGGTGCAACAATAACAATTACTGGGAGAAGTAATTGTAATAGATCTACAAGAGCTAAGAAGCCATTTCATGTGAAAAAACTATTAGAAAATAGTTAAAAAAGCCAAGAAAAAAGCAACAGATCACCTTTTATTATTATTAGTTGTATTAATTAGCCTGCACAGCTAAAGGCATATTTCTGAAAGCAGGGTTCGGAAAATATAAAGACAAGAACGAAGAAGCTTCAATCTTTGGTCACATTAACGTTTGTAATAACTGCATTTCCATCATTTAATCCTAAATGAAACATGTATCCATTTGTAGCTTAATATTCCTTTCAATAGCGGGTATCCTGTTACCAAGGCCCACTACTCCACATCACTAAATGGTACTGTCACAACAGGCGACTGAACCATTCAGCCAAACAGTATTCTACACCCCAGTTTCAAACAAAATTTCTTCATTTTCCTTAAGCTCTGGAAAAATTTGTATTGAATTTTTATGTCACTCTGTCAGCCATTAGAAGTGAAAATGATAATTAGGGCAGAATAACGGAAACTTACCGTCTGACAGTATTATCTGCACTTGCACTGAAGCCGGAGGAATCGTCATGAAAGCAGCAATCAAGGACGGGCCCGCCGTGCATGAACTCTCCGCGCAACACATTGGCGCTCGCGTCGTACAGTCTCACAGTCTTCATTTGGGGAAGAAAATTAACAAATCAAAGGTCAAAGCTAACTGAAAACGAACTAATTAACGGGGACATAGAGAGAGAGAAAGAGTGAGAGAGAGAGAGAGAGAGACACGGCACCTTATCCCACGAAGAAACGAGCAGGTGATCGCTGTGATTCGAGAACCGTAGGTTCGAGATCCCGTCGGAAGGTGGATTGGAGAGCTCGCGCCCGGACGCCGGCGGCTGCGCCACAGCTGTCATTGCGTGACTGGTAGACGATGGTGTGTCTGAGCAGAGAGAAAATGCTAGGGTTTTGAAAGAGAGAGAAGTAGAGAGAGAGGGAAGGAGATTTGAAATTCTTCAGAGATGCCAAAATTTCAAATCTTTAGAGATGATGGGTTTTGTTTTGAATTCAAAAAAAATCGAAGTTCCGAAACCAGAAAATAGGCAGCATCTCGTCGGTACCGCCAGCCTATGGATATAATTGGGCCGGACCTGTCTGGGTCGGGCCGGCCCAGTTTAAGAGGGTAGTCAGAGATTGGGCTCTACCAACCATGTTGTCATTCTTTCTTTATGGGTCGGGCCTAAGGCCCATTCTAATTATTTTCAGGCCCGGCCCATTTGGATTGTTATCAGGTCCGATGTAATTTTTTGAAAAAAGAAAATCGGAGAAACTGAATTGGATAGTTAGGCCCGGCCCATTTCGATATCTTCAGGCCCGACCCATTTTGATTACTTTCAGGCCTGATGTAATTTTTTGAAAATCGGAGAAAACTGAACTGGAAACGGATCTATCTCAGCTTGCATTTTGCAATTCCAAACGTATTTACAGCTATGTCCCTACCTTCCCTACCCTTTCGTCCAGCAAGGGAGAAATTATTACCAGAAACTATCGATTGTCCAAAGATTTCAATGCAAAAATCCTATGATATTGAAAGAACCTAACTATATTCTAGATCTCATTTTGTTTCTTCTTGATCCTTGATCCACCTTAAACCCTAGGTAAATGCATTCTAATAGTCAAGCTTTCATAATTCGATAATTTGCAGCTTGAACTGCGAGATCCCATACGTGCTCGCTTCTCTGTGCAATGGTGGTCTGCAAATGCCGAAAGGTTCTCTCTCTACACAATTTTAATTGCCTTGATATTCTGCTGAAATTCGTTATGATTCAAATCTAGACTTCGTGGTGTATTTGTTAATGTCTTAAAGTTATAGCTAATTGGAGATTTGGATCTGATTTTTGTTTTCCGATTTGTTAATTTAAACTGGATCGTGGTGTGTGAACATGCGTTTTTCTTTGGATTGCTTCTTTTTCTGTTGTTTGAAAACCAGTAGCATCGTAATTAGATTGCCTTCGTTAGTTTTAGGATTTTTTTGAAGCAGTGCTGAGGGCTTGAATCAAATTTGTTGCTCAAGGGTCCATAGTCGGTCAATAAAATAAAAAAAATAGATAGTAATTTTTTTGTCTCAATTTTTATGGGGTTTGTTTGAATGTAGGTTTATATGCTCTGAACTATTGGTTTTAATGAGCGTTAACTCCTGCATTGTTTAAGCGACTAACCATGCATTGTTTTTTGTACTTCAGGCTACCAAACTTTATTGTTTTGTGCACAAAGTTCCCGTATGTGGGGAATGCATTTGCTTCCCAGAGCACCAAATATGTGTGGTACGTATGTGGAATTTTCCGCTTATTTGTTTGTTTGGAAAAAATGATCTTCCTGAAATTAAGATTTGGATTGTGAACTACTCATTTATTGTAATAGGATAGGATATAAATATAGAACTGTATTTCTATTTCTCTGTTTCAATATTTGTTCTTTTGTGTATCAACTCCTTGTGTACGCTAATACTTATACTTCACTATTTATTAAAAAAAAAAAAAAAAAAACTTATACTTCACTATACAGAAGATTTATTCATAACCTATACATGGTACCACGTTTAGAATAGATTCTACATTTCTTTTATCTTTTTTTTTTTTTTTTTTTAATTTTGACCCATTTTTCTTCCTCAGTGTCTTATGTCCAAACATCATCGTCCTTCACAGTGTCTTGTCTTACTTCTCATCCTTCCTTTACTGTTTCTGTCATAAAAAAGTATGTTAATGAAGTCTTTGTTGCAGAAATTACTTGATTGGAAAATCTCACTTCACGCTTATTTCCAAGGACTTCTGTAGCTTATTACATAGAATGGTAAAAGCAAAGTAGGAAAGGATAAATTGTGGACATTATTGAAAGAAAATCATGGAGAAAATTTCTTCTTTTATGTTGAAGATTAGGATGTGTAGGATCCCAAATGTAGGATAGAGGTTCAGTCTGTGATATTCTCTGCTATTTGACTCCTAAGTTTAATTTTCTATTAGAAAGAGGTGTCCATTTGGAATCTGGTATTTAAGGTTTTTGCTTCATGCCATATCTATCTTGTCATCTTTGCAGATTCGTACTTACTCGGAATGGGTGATAGATGGAGAGTATGATTGGCC